GAGTCCTCTTAATTATTGAAGAGAGCTGTCTCTGTGACTCCCCACCATGTTTCCCTGCAGAATTGATGCATTCTTCAGAATTTTTAACCTACCTCCTTCCTCTCTCCTTTGTTAATTCTTCACTATCTTTAGTACCGACAAAAAAATCAGTTTATTCTCTCATGATGAGAATTTGTGGATTTTCAGTTGTTATACAAAGCACATGTATTTGTTCATTTAGTCAACTTTTTTTCCATTTGTTTTGTTTTTTAAAAAATATTTGTTTGTTTCAGAGAGAGGAAGGGAGAGGAGAGATAGAAACATTAATGATGAGAGAGTTGTCATTGATCGGCTGCCTCCTGCACACCCCTGACTGGGGATCGAACCCGCAACCTGGGCATGCACCCTGACTGGGAATCATACCTTGATCTCCCGGATCCTAGGTCAATGCTCAATCGCTGAGCCACACCCAGCAGGGCTGTTTCATATTTTTAGTTTCTTCTACCTGTCCAGATGTTAAAGGGTCTGGGTATTATGTGGAAAACAAGACTGACAAATTCCTGCCCTCTTAGAGCAGCCATTCTAGTGGTGATTCCAGATACAATGCATACTCTGAAGAAATTAACACAGGGTGATGGGATAGAGATTAGGGGGAGGCTACTTTATAACCTGCTGGTTGGGAAAGCCTTTCTGAGCTGATGACATTTGAACTAACGTTACCAGAAACAGGACCTGGCCCTTGGTGGGTCAGCCTAGGGCCAGCTGGTAGCTTGTGAGTTCTTGACTTTGTGCAGGAAAAATTTCACAACACGAATCCAGGTGACTATGAAGGAATGGTTATTAAAACTGGGGACAGTAAAACAAGAAAGGGCTTAGCATAGAAGAAGCAACAGGAGAGCCTAGACCGGGCTGCCTTAGTGCTCTGGGCATTCAGAGAAAAGGGGACCTTGGCAACAGGTTCAGGGGTTAACCTGGGATGAGTTGCCACTGCCCGTTGCTCCCCTGCTTGCAAGTCTCATGGGATCCCTTAGAGTTTAGGAGCTGCATGCCTGTGGCGGAAGAAATAGGGAAAGAAGAGGGGAAAGAGAATGGCAGGGGCTGCTCCCCAGCGGGACAGAGCATGCTGGGTCCTTTGTCTTGAGGCTTTTAACTCTTTTTTGCAGGCAGGAATCTTAGGGGAGGTCTCGGGAGGGTTTCAGCAGAATATTCATCAGCTTTCTAGATGTGCTCCTTGAGGGTCATGGTCTCTAGTGATTGATCAGTGTCAGGGCAGGGGGTCTTTAGTCATTGCAGCTGTTTCTCGTGTCGCCCACCTGATTTTGCTGCTTTTTTGGGCCGGGAGCTGAAATATAACTGAGGCCTAGATGTTATTTCTTAGGAGGTGACCTTCTGTATCTGATGTAAATTGTTTTGTCAGTTTGTTTAGCTGATATAATTGTAATGAACCCAGTTACTAACTAAGAAGAAAGGAGCAAAGGGCAGGGCAAACAGATGCACTCCCATAAAGCCTGGGTGATGTAGGGAAAGTACTTGTTTGTCAGTCACACCTGGAAACAAGTATTGGCCAGAATAGGTGTGGCCACTGCAAGAATGTAAGATTTGATATTTAAACTCCAAAACAAAGGAGCTCTCTCTTGTATGCTGGGCTCCTGTCTGTTGTTGCAGGGAGCACACTCCCATGTGCTTGCCCACATGGCTCACGGCCATGTGAACCCCACACAGTGGACTGATGGATTGTAACTAGTCTGATGCTGTGCCCCACCATGGAAAGGAAACTCTGGACACTGGCTTTGGTTTTTAGCTCTGCTGAATCCCTAGCTGCACATCTTTCAGGACTGGTTTAAGGGAAATGGGACTTTTGAAATCCAGGGATGTAATTCCATGCAAATAAAGCTTTCTACCACATCTCATTCTCCCGTGGAGGCCTCTGGAAATGCTTATTCCAATGGTACCCCAACAACCCCACTCACTAGCAAAGGGCAATCCACGCAATTCTCCCATAACAAAGCTTTGTCTCAGTTTCCCTATCCCACTTGTCCTGACTTACTGAGACTTGAATGCTGATAAGGAGCAGGAGATCTGGAGAGAAACTTTCCATGTGGGAGGAACGGAAAGTGGTAAATTCCAGAGAAGGCTCTCTGTGTTGCCAGAGTGCTGGCGCTCCATGTGAAGGGAGAGAGGTAATCAGGGCCAATGAGGGCATTGCTGGGCATGGCGAGAATTAGTTTTATTCGATGTGCAACAGAAAGTCACTGAACATTTTTAAGTTGGGAAATTGTAGTTTTTCAAAAAAATCTTCAGTCTAATACCTTAAATTAAGAGTGGGGAGAGGGTGCAATGGCAAGAGTAGAATTAAGACCACTTAGAAGGACACTGAGTCCACATAGGAAATGTGGGTAGCTTGGACCAGGACAGCAGTAGTGTGGATGTGATGGTAAACATCTAAGTTTTAGTTAACAACTAAAAGGAAAGGAGGAAGTTGGAGAGCATAATAGTAATAATAATAGAGAACACTTCTCTTGCACTTAGGACTCTTCTAGGTGCTTCGCAGTTAACTACTTTAATCTTCATAATAATACTACCCACGGATAGGTATTATTATCAAAACTGTTTTATGGGTGAGAAAACTGATGGCCAAAGATGTTGAGTGGCCAAAGGTGGCTCAGATAATAATAGCGGAGTGGGGTGCTCTTCTTCCAGTGTACTAGGATCGTGTAAGTGTTGTGAAGAGGACCTTGATAGGTCAATTGATAGGATTTTTAAAAACTTTTCAACAGTGAGCAGAGGTTACCGGCAGCAGCAGGGGGAAGGATGGCATCCTCCTTGGCCCAGTGTCTCCTCCAGCTCCTGCTCTCAGGCTGCCTTTAAAGATACAACTCCCTTTTATGTATGTTTACTTCTGTTTTTCCGATGGCACAAAAATGGGCCTATCCTGCATGCATAATAGATGTAATGAATATTCATCATTTCATCTGTGCGAAATCAGGAAAAGGTGGAGATTTGTTTTGCAGACGCGCAAACCACAGTATTTGCATTTCAGGCCACTGCAAGACATCCAGGGGCTCAATATCTTGCAGCAGTTTTGGAGAGCTTGCTGGTTAGGCGCTGCCTTTGGAGGAAGGGTAGCTAGCGAGGGGCAAGTCAGCCCTCTACAGGTTTGTTTTCCATGCACTGTGGTTGCCATGCAGCAGGGGGCGCCGCAGTAGTGTTCATCGTGTCCACCAGGGCCACTGGACGCGCAGAAGGGGCCAAGCCGGGAGGGTGTGGCGGGCAGCCCGGGGTCCTTTTTGGTCTCGCAACTTTAGTGCCCAGAGCTCGCTCTACACGGGCCGTTCTTCCACACCGTATTTCAGCATGTTGGACGCCTTCCACCCAGTCCCGTATCCGGGGGGGAAAGGAAAGCATTCGCTCCCCGCCTTCCTAGGTTATAGTACCAGGCGGTCGAGGCGTCTCTTCTGTGTTCTCAGGGTAAGCCTGACAGTCCCCCTGAAACGAAAGTCCCCCCGCATGTCGTGCCTTTCTTTACTCTTTTGGGTTTTTTTCTTGTTATCCTACTGCAGGAATATTTTCCTCCCCGCACGTCTTTCCATTGACATTCGGGACAACGGTAGGCTCGAAGCTGAGACCTCACCCCCTTAAGGTCCCCCCCTACCCCCTTCTGGCTCACGCGCTAGGAGCGTGTGCGAGCGGTCGCACGTGTTTGTGGCGACCGAGGCTGCAGAACTCGCCAAACCTGCTCTTCCGCTCCCGGTCCCCAGAAGTCTCCAGCGACCGAACTTAAGCCTGGCGGCGCGAGGGGCTGAGAACCAGCGGGTGCCAGGCAGCGCCGCGCCGCAGGCGCGCGGGGCCCCGCGTCCTCCTGGGTC